GCTCTATATCGAGTCGCACCTCAACCAGGTCCTCCACAACTTTGTCCTCTGCCTTAGTGCCCACATCCTCCAGAACTCCTCGGTCTTCCGGTCCTTCTATCATTTGCACGAACCCTTTGGCAGCCCGGCTGCCGTTCACCGCCACGAAGCACTGTTTGGACATGACTTGATCCCCCCAGATCTCCTCGATTGCCCCCATAGCCGAGGGGAATCTCATCACCTGGTGGTAGGTCGACGCTACAGCTTGCATAGCGTAAAGCCATCCCCTTCCAAGGATAAGGTTGTACGTCGAAGGCATTTGTAGCACCCAAAACTCCAATTGCTTGACCACGGATCCCGCTTTGACCGGCAGGATAATCTTTTCCAAGGGCCACTCTAGCTGCGAGTTGAAACCAACCAGTGGCGAAGTTGCCAGAGCCAAGTCTGTCTCTCGGAGTTTGAGCTGCTTGAACGCATCAAAATACATGATCTCGACCGAGCTTCCCTGATCGATCAAGATCCGTTTAACATCAAATTCCCTGACGCGTAGTGTTACTACTAGGGCATCGTTGTGCGGCGTCTGGATACGCTCTAGATCCCTTGAGGTGAAACTAATCACATCTTTTTCTTTAGTCTTCCCTCTTTTGATGGCAGGCTGTACCGACAAAACTTCCCTCATATGCTCTGCCTTTTTTATCATGCCCCGGAGTTCGCAAACACGCTCCGGTTCCATGATGCCGTGGATGACATTAATAACTCCTTGTGGTGGTGCGTCTCGGTCATCCTGTCCCCTGGGATCGACCGGAGCCTAATTCGGCTTCACGCCGCCATCAATGTAAAGGTTGAGGTGCCTGGCCGCGACCAGCTCTACTAAGTGTTGCCTCAAAGGCAAACAATCTTCAGTCCGGTGGCCTCTCTCCCGGTGGAATGTGCAACGATACTGCGGATTGTAGCCCTTCTGTCCATCGCCCAACTTAGCAGGAAACCGGACATACTCCTCGTCTCGGATTTCACTAAGTATGCGATAAATTGGAATCTTGAAGACCGTGGTGATGCCAGTCCTTGCCTTCAATCTTCTGTTGGCATCCACAACATCATCTCGGGCGTAGTCATCCCAGTTGTTCCGACGTCCTCTACCCCGGTTCTTACGATTCGAGCCACGGTCTGATTCCTCTGCTCTGTCACTTGAGCGGCTGGACTCTCGCCCAACTGCGTGCACTTTGCCTGCCGTCTTCTTATCTGTTGCTACCGGGGTTGACTTCACGGTAGATGCTGACGCATCATCCTCGACCCGAATGTGCTCATTGATGTGCTGCATGAGCTGGCCCATGGACGTCGGTTGGTGCATGGTGAGCGAGTCCCGCAGTCTATGTCCGACCGGGAGACCACGCTTGTATTGAGTGATTGCAAGGTTGACCGGGCAATCCAAGATCTCGTTGAAGGTCTCCCAATACTTGGAGTTATATGCCTTTAGTGTGTCACTCGGTTCCATCTTGACACTTAATAAGTGATCGACTTCCTTTGGTGTTTTTGTGTTGGTTTTGAAGCACGTCACAAAGGCTTCGGCCAACTGATTCCACTGTTGTATGCTCCCTTCCGGCAACCTCTCGAACCACTTCAAGCCCAGCTCGCCTAAACTCGACGGGAAGATCAGGCACATAAGTCCATCATTTCGCCTATGTCCGGCCATAACCTGTCGAAAGTGGCTCACATGCATGTAAGGATCGATTTTTCTGTCGTAGAGTGTGAACTTAGGCTGCTGGAAGCCTGCCGGAAGCGGTGTTGTTTCTATTTCCAGGGAAAAAGGGGTGGCACTCAACCTAGCCAAATCTGAATCCATTAGGAGTGGCACTGCTTGGCGGGGTGGAGGCATTCCGACCTCCTCGCGGGCGTGAAGCCCGTAGGATAGCCGCTGGAACGCCGGTATCCTCTGAGCTTAACGTCGGCGAGCCTGCTCCTTTAAGACCACCCGCAAATCCTCTAAATGAGCGGAGTAAGAGTACTTCGACGTCGTCGCCGGACGTGAAGGCCGGTAAGTGCTATCTTGTGCGCTAGACTTCTCTGCATGCACGTCGGAATCACCAACCTGGTAACTTCTGGTAATTGAAATGGATGGAGTGCGACGCTGACTCTGACCGCCTGAACGGCGGGATGGGGTGCGCTCACTGTGGTCACCCACTCCAGCTACACCCTTTCCTTTGACATGCCGCTTGAGGTCCTCCATCTCCGCCGCCATTCGCCGGATGACAGCATCTTGGTCCCTCAACTTGTGTTCCAGACGTCGGGCATGTGATTCTCTCCGCCGCCGATGACCGTCCGGACTTCGTGAATGACCATAACTTCTTCCGCACTTATCCCGCACGTCTCCTAACTGTCCTCCAGTGGGTGTCCCCAAGTTCGCCATTGGATGGATGACGGGTGGTCCTTCTCTCCTTCGGGTATACTCCGGTGTGGCTCCGTCTATGGCGGACAATGGAAACTTATCGTTGTTCGCCATGGACGGCGATCAGACGAGCCTGAAAGACAAGGTTTTGTTTGTCAAGCTTCCCACAGACAGCGCCAATTGTACGGGGAGCAAATATTCCGACGAGCCTGTACTCCTTTCTTCTGAGCCCCGTTTCTGTCCGATCACCTACGAGCAAGTAACGGTGAGCTACCCGGCGGTGTGTGGCCGGAAAACCCCTCCGACGGTCAAGTTAGCACACACCTTAGGATAAAGAGAAAGAGAGAGGAGTGTTAGAGTGTAGGAATTCCTTACAGAATGTTCGTCTCTCCGCGTATGGGGGGCGCAGACATGCTTATATACCCTCTGCGCCCCATATCCACTCCCAGTCATCTCCTGACACGTGGCTCCGCTATCCCATCTGTCAGCATAAACCTTGCTGAACATCACCTAATCTCAACTGCCTGCCTTCTCAGTTGGAGGTCGGCAGCCGAGCTTCTCTATCCACGGCCGTGCTGTGCTTCATACCCAAGCACTTCACTGGCTAAGCCCAAGGAGGACCGGGCTAGGCGGCATCTCGGCAAAGCCGAGTCCGGAGCACCTCCTGTGGTCGGCTTTCCTGCCGATCAAACGATTACCTCGGCTGACCACGCCTTTCCGGGCGCCGGTCACTCAGCTTGACTGGCTCCACCATCGCCTGATCAAGCAGCTCGGTCCAACTGAGCACTGCCCTGCCGAGCAGCTTCTTTACGGTCTGGGGCGGCACATACTTGGCCCAACTCCTGCCCGGCCCAAGTCCTGGCAGCCCATCTCTGGGCGGATCGCCGGTCATCTTGGCCCCATGCACCATTAGGCTCTCAACCCGCTCGGCCGTGACCTCAGCCCAATTCCAGACCATAAATCTCCCTCTCACTATGGTTGCACACAAAAATAAAAAATAAAAAGATAAGAATTTAGCTATAGATCTCAAAAAGATATAACATCTAAATTTGAATTATGATTTAATAATATAATTATGTATTTTTTTTATGTATATCTATTGCACCATTAGGCTCTCAACCTGCTCGGCCGTTACCTCGGCCCAATTCCAAACCATAAATCTCCCTCTCAATAAGTATAGATGCAAGAATGAATGACATATAGAAGGGTCATATAATTTACACTTTAATCAACTCCAAATTTTAATACACTAACCAAAGAGCCGCAAGATCAGTGGAAGCATAGTTGAAACCACCATCCTTCTTCACAACAATTAAAGGTATATTTTTTCCCTCAATAAAGATCACACGAGCACCTTCACTTTCTTCAATTAATCCTTTCTTATCCAATTCCTCTTAAACTCCAGGTATATATGGATTGTAAAAGCTTTCTCCCTGACCGGAAGGCAAAAAACAAAATAATTACAAGTGATTTTGCCACTCAATCATAGGAACAGTTGATTTCATGAGTACGATATGTTCATTACTCATGAAATTCAAATAAGGGCAAATCATGCCACCATCTGACACTCCCTGCAACTTCACTTCCAAATAGGGTTTTAAATAGCAAGTGTAACAATAATCAAATTCAGGAATAAGCATAATGTAAGACTTATGAGAGAGAGAGAGAGAGAGAGAGAGAGAGAGTTGCTATATATCACAAAAAGTCTTCACCCCCTATGTGTTTCCCATGTGTCATGGTAAGTCCCACTATTTTTTAATATGGTGGATCCTACACATATACTACACATACACATTGCTTTTATTGCATGGAAAACATGGGAAGTGAAATAAAATGGTGAAAAAAGAATCTGGTGATAAATAGCATTTCTCTACCACAAACATTAAATATATAGATATATGCCATTATAGTGCACTGTTCTGCTGAACACTTGACCTGTATCAGATGTGAAGAAGAAGAATTTCTCAATGTCAAAGACAATATCACTGGGCAAACACACAACTTTGACTTCATATTGATGAGACATTTTATGGTTAACATAACCACAAATCAGCATTAACCAACTTAGTCACTCTAGCCTGAACATGTTCTAATGCATTCCTCACTCCTTACGCATCTACTATTCAAGAATGAGAATCCAATAATTATAAATATATATATATATATATGTATGTATATGTATAACATTGTCCATAAAGTTTCAATTTTACAATTGTTCAAAATCCATTGTAAAAGAATCATCGTCTAAAACACCAAATGCCACCTCAAACCCATCACCTATCTATATCTTTACTTTTAATTTTCCTAATTCAAACTAGCATATAAAATACTAGTTCTATTGAATTGAGTAATTTTCTTGAGTCCAAAATAAAAAGAATAAACAATGATAAATTACATTTATGGGCCCCTGGCCTCCCATACTCGAAGCCTGTACCATACTAATGTCCTCATTGCATATGCAATAATGTAATTCAACAAAGATTCATAGTCTAGTCTTGCCATAGTTCTTGTGCCCACTAATTTAAAGTAATCTTTTAGTTATTACAGCTATACAAGAAGTAACTAGGATGACGAAATAACAATGTTTTGCCTTGTAGAATTGTGATCTTAGATATCAAGCTACCATCAGTTCAAGTAGTCATACAAAATGGCCAACCTGATAACATCAGTCAAGATATAAAGTGACAATGACTTAAAGCAGATACATTTGAATCGGATGCAATATACAATTGGTAGGGCAGGGGGCTGTGAACCATAAACCAAGAATGTTCTATTTTTAGCATGCACGCTATAGATTGAAATCAAAAGTTGTTGTCTTTTTTACGTGGCTCCATGGCGCATAAAATAGGTGTGGAAAATACAATCAATGTTTGACATTGTCATTAGTTAGAAAGAAAAATATCAGTTAAGTACCATCTCATCTATCTTAATTCCTAGGCGTTGATAAACTCTTTGATATCCCCTTCGACTGATTTCACAGATTTGTGCCCATGCCTTTCGATACTTCTCTTCCCCACCCTGTGATACAAGTTATGCCATAGGAAATGAAACCAAATAAGATAAATGATGAAACATAATGAAACCTCGAGATAAAATCATTAACCGGATTTTCTTCCTAAACGAAGAAACAAAATTTATAGTTTATAAATCAGATTTCCTCCAAAATAGAAAATTGAAATTCATAGCTTTTAAGTTCTTTTACAAATAAGAAATTTAATTATTACTATAATCAACCTCACAAGTCTTTAAGGCATAAAGGTAAGTGATTCACTTGGAGTCTGACCACCACTTGTTGTGCCCTCTCCTTGAATCCAGGATCACTGTCAAATCTTTGCTTTGATGCCTTATAGAATGCCTAATAACAGCATTCAAGTTAAATCAATAATACCCACATTCATTAAATTTCATGATTCATTTCAATGAAAAAAAATTGAATCAAAGGCATAAGTTGCACAAAGCAGCACAAGCAACTAGTTACTTGAATTGTTTGCTAATCTAAGCATGGGACTTTGTTGCTTGGATGTAGCATAAAAAATATTCAAGTGACATGAAGAAGTATTCTGTCTGTACCAATTCAGGAAATGGACCTAATTTCCAAAATTTTTATCTCACCTTGAGATCTCTGATGGCTTGATCATTGACAACCTCCACGTTTGGAAATTTTTCGAAAAGAAATTCAACTAGCATACCAAACTGCAAAACATAAATAATATCTTTAAGACATAATAGGAAAGTAACAAAAAAATTATCGAAATAGACTCTCATAATTCAGACAGCAAAGAGGCCATAATATTATCACCTTCTAGAGCAGCAATAATCAACAAAAAATTTAAAAGAGCATAATTTTTTCACTTAATACAATTATACAAGAAGGGTCTGTTGGAGTTCCTTCTTCCACCACATATTAGGGAAGGAAAAGGCACCGAAGAACTTCAAACTACTGTTGTTCACCCAAGAAATTATTTTGATCCAAATGAAAAAGTTAACTCATAATATGGGACAACCCATGATTGAAACCCTTATCAAAAAATAAATAATTTTAACATAACTTATATAAAATTTCAAGATAAAAGAGAGAAAACAAACACACATACAGAATGCATGTGCTCACACACACACACACACACACACACACACACACACACACACTTACCTGTGTACCCCAGTCACCAACATGGTTTCTCCAAAGAACCTCAACATTTGAAAACTCTAGCATATGGGCTAGAGTGTCTCCAATAATTGTAGATCTCAAGTGGCCTACATGCATTTCTTTAGCAATGTTAGGTGAGGAAAAGTCAACCACTGCCCTTTTGATTGTAAGTTTCGGCAACCATGTTTCAACACCATTTATTAGCATCTTTTGAATGCTCTATAGTGGCAACAATATATTTTAGTAAACAAGACATTCACACTAAGTGAAGAAACCAAGATAGCTCATGATCCTATCATTCCTATCCATTGCTGTCAAAAATTAACTAATACCTTTGCTATCCAATCCTTTGATAACACAATATTCACAAACCTAGGTCAAGCTATACTGCATTTGTCTACCATTTCTGATTTTGGTAGATTGTTCATAATGGCCTTAAAGAAGAAAAATGCACAAACTATCATTTAATAGTATCAATTCAATATTAAATACAAAAATCATAACATTATTGATGAACTAAGTTATTAGAGACAGGAAGTACAACATAGAGAATATGGAGTGATCAATGTCAATACCTTTCCAATAGGTTGGAAACCTGTCAATTCGGAACCCTTGTTGCTCATGGCTCATGGGATTGTTGCTGCACCAAAAGAATTCCCAATTTAACAATTAAAAAAAAAAAAAGGCATACAAGAGTTTCCATTGCTATAAAAGCCAGAGAAATTTTAGAGGTGACCACCTCTAAAATTTGAGGATTCAAGCATTCTATATCTTTTGCTGAAGTTAGGTGTGTATAGTTGTATTGTATGCGCACACATGCATGTGTGAGAGTCTTGAATTCCTCTAACATATCACATTTACTAGATATGTTACATGGACTTCTCTAAAAGCATGAAGTAACTGTGTTAGACATGCAACACTTGGATAAGGTACATGTGTTCGACATGACTAACTGGACATGCCCCGAGCAAACATGTCAAGTACACATAAAACTCTATAGTGCAACTCATAAACTAATAATGGGGCTTTTAGTTATGATTTAACTCAATATTCTATGGTAGCTATCCTGACTTGTAGAAACACTAACTAATAATCTAGGAAGTTCAAATTTTAATGTCTGAATGACTTTTTCAACAGCCAATGAATTTGATTAGCTTTCAAAAAATATACTATACTTACTCATATCAAATTGCTAGTATTATTCTTAAAATAAAATACATACAACTAATTGATTTTTTTTTATTATATGTACCCTTCTTTTTTTTTCCCTTGTTTTTTGTTGAAAATTTGGTTGAAACTAAACACCATCAAGTCTGCTGAAACTGAAATAAATAAACCAAACAATAAAAAAACAAAAATTTCTCCAAAGATTGAACTAGCAAAGAATTTGACTATGAATTCAGTAATCAATATGCACAAATTTTTGAAAGAATACTATGAACTAGCACTAGTTTTCTTTCTAGAAACAAGAAATCAAAAGAAAAATTACTAAGAATTATTGTATATAATCGATCTATCTCCTAACAATTCATGTGTATAACATATATATACTGATAAAATTCGTCACTATATTATTGCCCCTGAATCCAAAGTCACAGAGAGTGAGAGAGAGAGAGAGAGAGAAAAGAAAAACCCACCACTCAAATATCCTTGTTTTTGGCCATGTCCGTGTCTACATCTCCATCTTTAATGGCATCAAAATCAGAAACTTTTCTCCTCCGAAGATGCATCTTGACATAGAAATTAAGAAACAACAAGAGAATGGCAGCATTGAGAACCGAATTGAAGCCCCAAGCCCTAATTCCATTACACCCACCTTTCAAAAAATGAAGCAAAAGCACACCCACATGGCACAAAACATTACAACCGAGAAGAACAATCTGACAAGTGACCACAAAGGGGAAACAAGCACCGGGCAAACCAATGGCAGTCCAAAATCTGTAGCCATAAACAAGAGAGTAAACAGAGGTGGCAATGAGAATGGCAAGAACTTGAAAAGATTGAGAGAATTCGAGCCCAAAGAAGGACATGAAGATGCGAATGGAGTGGTTGAAGAGGCGGAAGAAGGAGAGGTGGCGGCCGCAAAGGATGGAGAAGAAGGTGCGGAAAGTGTGGAGGAAGGGGGAGAGGTAGAAGAGGTAGGACCAGAAGAAGACGCGGCCGGAAGGGCGGGTGCCGAGCGAAAAACAGAGGAGCCATTGGAAAGGGATTTTGGAGCTGGCCCAGAACTAGCGGGCGTCGCGGATCTCGGAGGCAGAGGAGAAGAGGAGGCCGGTGAGCTGCGGTGGCGATGTTCGACGGTGGAAGATTGACAGACACTGGTCGTGTGCGATGCTGAGATGAGGGGTGGTGGTGATTGATTCTCTGTGTGACAGAGAGAGACAGAGAGAGAGCAAGAGAGAGAAAGAATCGTGTGAAGAAGTAATAAATTTGGGCAAAAATTTAGGTGCCAATATGAAATATTTCCCAGTAAAATTTTGAACACATCTGCGACTAAATTTTAGTCGCTGAAAGTAAGTTTTTGGCGACTAAAACTTTAGTCGCCAAAGAGAAAAAATAATTTTTTTATTTCCCATTCGGCGACTAAATATTTTAGTAGCCAAAAGTCAATAGACAATGACTAAGTTTTTTTTTTTTGTCGCCAATTCTGGCATTTTTAGTGACTAAATTTTTTTAGTCGCCAATAATGTATATACCCTGACTAAAAAAAATTAGTAGCTAAATATTTTACTTTTGGCGACTAAAAAAAATGTTGGTCGCCAATTCCATAACTTTTGGCGACTAAATTTTTTTTAGTCGCCAATTTTGGTCGCCCAAGGAGCATTTTGTTGTAGTGTATTACTCTTTAGCTTTCTAGTGTAAAATGGTGGGGCCACGCTATTTTAGCTTGATTTATAGGAAATTTCTTTAAGCTTATATCAATCTAACTCTAAAACACTACGTTCTTTTTCCCACCATTGTTGTGAGCTCATCGTGCCTCTCAATCTCTATATTTTAGTTTATATCGATCTAACCCTAAAACCCTAACAATGACAATGATGGAGAAGAAACAAAGACGAATTGCGAGGATTGATTGCCCAAAATCTCGCAACATTTGCTTCACAAAGTGCCATCAACAGTGGTGGAGGGAAGTGAGGACCAGGGAGGTCACGTGCCCCCCTGGATCTTGGGCTTCTTCTTCTTCTTCTTCTTCTTTTTTGTTGCAAATATAAAGAAAATATTTTAAATAAAAAAAATTACAAAAATATTATTAGAGTAAAATGTTAATGACATTTTAAAAATTATGAAAATAATAATGATTATTTTGATTGAAAATGAAGAGGCTATTATAAATAGAGGGGAAGTGCAAGACAATGCACAAGTTAGTGGAGGTGCAAGACAATGCACAAGTTAGTGGGGAAGTGCAAGACAATGCACAAGTTAGTGGGGGTGCAAGACAATGCACAAGTTAGAGGGGAAGTGCAAGACAATGCACAAGTTAGTGGGGGTACAAAATAATGCACAAGTTAGTGGGAAAGTGCAAGACAATGCACAAGTTAGTGGGAAAGTGCAAGACAATGCACAAGTTAATGGGGGTGCAAAACAATGCACAATTTAGTGGGGAAGTGCAAGACAATGCACAAGTTAGTGGGGGTGCAAAACAATGCACAATTTAGTGGGGAAGTGCAAGACAATGCACAAGTTAGTAGGGGTGCAAGACAATGCACAAGTTAGTGAGGGCGCAACACAATACACAAGTTAGTGGGGAGGTGCAAGACAATGCACAAGTCAAGACAATGCACAAGTTAGTGGGGGTGCAACACAATACACAAGTTAGTGGGGGTGCAACACAATACACAAGTTAGTGGGGAAGTGCAAGACAATGCACAAGTTAGTGGGGGTGCAAAACAATGCACAAGTTAGTGGGGAAGTGCAAGACAATGCACTAGTTAGTGAGGGTGCAAGACAATGCACAAGTTAGAGGGGAAGTGCAAGACAATGCACATAAGGAGCAAGACAATGCAAGTTATAGGGGATGCAAAACAATACAAATAATGAGCAAGACAATGCAAGTTATAAGGGATGCAAAACAATGCGAATAACGAGCAAGACAATGCAAGTTATAGGGGATATAAAACAATGCAAATAACGAGCAAGACAATGGAAGTTATAGGGGATGCAAAACAATGCAAATAACGAGCAAAACAATGCAAGTTATAGGGGATGCAAAACAATGCAAATAACGAGCAAGACAATGCAAGCTATAAGGGATGCATGATAATGCAAATGAAGTGCGAGACAACGCATGTAATGAAATGCATGACAATGCAAATGAAGTGCGAGACAACACATGTAATGAAATACATGACAATGCAAATGAAACATGTGAGACAACGTATGTAATGAAATGCATGACAATGCAAATGACGTGCGAGACAACGCAAGGTTGAGTGTAACACATAATAATGCGGTAAAAACAAGCATAACAATGCAAGTGAAGTGTTCATAACAATGTAAAGCACTAACAAGTACAGGTAAGGTGTGCAAAATAGCGCGAGCAATGCACTAACGGGTGCAGATGTGGTGCGCAAGATAGCGCGATGCGCAAAATAGCGCAAATGAAATGCAATGCACTAATAGGTGCAGATGAGGTGCACAAGATAGTGCGATGCGCAAAGTAGCACGAATGAAATGCAATGCACTAACAGGTGCAGATGAGGTGTGCAAGGTAGCGCGATGCACAAAGTAGCGCGAATGAAATGCAATGCACTAACAGGTGTAGATGAGGTGCGCAAAATAGCACGAATGAAATGCAAAGCACTAACAGATGCAGATGAGGTGCGCAAGATAGTGTGATGCGCAAAATAACGCGAATGAAATGCAATGCACGCAAAATGCAAGTAAAGCACACAAAACAGTGCGATGAAATGATAATATAGTAGATAAAAAAGGGTGACATACTCCAACCATGCTGGAATCATGAGAGGAGGAAAAACAAACAATCAGGCGCGTATACAACGCAGCTTGAGTCAAATTCCAAACACGCTGAAATCGTGTGAGGAAAGGGACACTCAAATCACGCTGAAATCGTGAGAGGACGTCCAAAACAACCCGCTCAGGTGTGTTCAAAACACAACCTGAGATAAATTCCAAACACGCTGAAATCGTGTGAGGAGGTGCAAAAATAACCCGCCCAAACGCGTATACAACGCAACCTGAGACAAATTCCAAACACGCTGGAATCGTGTAAGGAAAGGGACACTCAAACCACGCTAAAATCGTGAGAGGATGTCCAAAAACAACCCGCCCAGGCGTGTATACAATGTAACCTGAGATAGCCCTGGGGGGCGACGATCCTAAATGCCGCTCTGCGTAAAAGGATAAACGATAGAAGA